TGTAAGGGGCTTAGAAGCAGAAGGGTGAAAGCCAATTCTCTTTTTCGATTTCCTCTTTTGTGATGACCATGGTTTCCTATTTCGCACTATTTCTGCTATGCTCTTCTATCATCCACAACAACAAACGTATCAATGAATGTGTTTGCCGTCGAGTTAACGTTATCTGACCGTGCACTTCGTAGTTGATCCTCCGTGAATGATCACAACTCAAGAGCAAATTTTCATTACGTCGAAAGTAAAGGTAAACAAAGTCGAGCTATCAGTGTCAATCGATGCTCCTGCTATTGCACTATATACTGTCCGAATATAGGATCACATCCCATTTTTAAATTTATTTACTAGTCAAATTGCTTTTTGACGTAATCACCTTCCGATCAAAATAGTTTTCGATGTTACTTAAGTTACCCGATTTCTATGGAGATGCCGTTTGCCTTAAGTAACAGCGCTGAGAAACCCGTGAAAAGTGTTCGTTCGTCGTTTCGCTTTCTCATTATTAAAGTGAATAAATCGAACTGTTGGTTGCTAAGATGATTTCGGTGGTCCTAAAATGATGAGGGCTGCACGTAAGGAGACGTAATTGATAATTCTCCCGAATATCCTGGTAAATACACTTTGACTTAAGTAACAATAGGGGCCATCAAACGACGTATAATAACTTTTGACTCAAACACCAGTATTTTTTAGCATGAAAGCTAGCGATTTGTATTTGTATGATTAAAACCCTGCTAAATATGTTAAACATTGCTATCACTATGAGATTATATGTGTTTAATTGGAAATAGGAATAACTTTTCGGCGTCTGGCTCGACGTGGTTATGTCAAGCGCCTCCGGTCTGATCTTCGAGGAAACCCGAGGTGTGCTGAAGGTGTTCCTAGAAAATATGCGTGATGCCGTCACCTATACTGAACACGCCAAGCGCAAAACCGTCACGGCCATGGATGTCATCTACGCTCTGAAGCGACAGGGACGCATTCTGTACGGTTTCGGAGGTTAAAACTTATCACCAATGTAACAAAACGGCCCTTTTCAGGGCCATCAAGTTCATTTCAGAAAAGAGTTAGAATAGAATTTATGTAGAGTATCCCCTGCTTCCAAGTTTGGTTACAAGATTACAACTCTAGAGAGCAGCGGCGCCCGTGGTGTAGTGGTAAGCGTCCCAGCAGGTCTGGGTTCAATCCCAGTCAACGCTGCCGGGAAGTTCTGAGGCATAACATCTCTGATCACGCCTTCCTTCGGGGTTCCCGGTTCATGAGTTGATGGGTCGATAGGTAGGGTCCAGGTGTGGGCATGCACAGTTGTACACACCAACTGCTAATTTGGTAATAACTTTTCACTCAGATGTTGAAATTTATTTTTCTTTAAAGTAATTGATGAATTAGGCTCATAGTTTACTATAAATATGCAAAGATTAGGTAAAGCTTAACATTTGAATCAACACTAATCAATTTAACACTTTAATTCCGAGATGTGTAGTAAGCATTTCTCACCTCATTTTTACAACGCAAAAACAAATACAGTTTACTACTAGCATTAAAATCTACTTTATTTTACATATCTATAACAAGCTTACACTCTATTCTATCTACTGCTTCGAAAAGAACTATGTTCCGTCAACTGTGTGCAAAGTTATTAGCAAATGAGCAGTTCGTGACAAAACTGTGTATGCCAAGCATGGGTGTGGGTAGCATTGGTGCTCAGCACGAAAAACAAGGAATATTCCTAAAATATAATATACACAATTAAGTACAACACATAACAGACGTTATCCAACGCCAACCCTGCGGTCGTATCTAGTATACAACCCTTCCAACTTTTTTTTAACTTATAATTCACTTCACTGAGCACCTCTTCAAAACCCGACTTCCCTCTTAACACAATGGTGAGTTTCGCTACTCACTACGTGCGCGGAAACGCAAAACTATACGCGCGTATGCATGGAACTCTGTGCGCAAACACTTGGTCAGAAATTTCTCGTTTAAAAGTTAACTGTCACGGTATGCCATGTGACGGGAGGCACAGTGTCTTTTGCATGGGGAAGGCTTTCTTTTCAGTCTAGATGGTATCCGAACTAGGGAGGGCTCTGAGGAGTAACCTCCGGTTCGGACCAAGCGACTACCCAAGTTGGCTCTCGGTCAAAAGATTCGTTTATTCACAAAAGTCATTCTTTTATATATGGCTTTACAATGATTCTTAATCTATGGTTTGCATATGGGTGAGCGAGACGACTGGAGTGCCGACAGGCAAAAAGGTTCTTGACTGCTGCGTCAGAATTTTGGTGGACTGTTGGAAGGAGAAGGAAAAGAAACGCTTATCGGTGTATGGTGTTGCCTTTGACACATATCACAGGAGGGGAACTTCGGATTAGAAAGTGGCTCCACTTGTCATTTGCGAACACTACCGCACCTAGCGGTAGAAGGCATCTTCTGCCTGCACTTAAGATAGGCAGCATGCTATGATAGTGTGAGTGCACATAGAAAGCCCGTGTGAAATGCTACCACAACACATCGCTTGTTGAGCAGAAAACCGAACAACTTTTTGATTCACCGATGTGTTTGGCACTTCCCCTTCTGTTCTGTGCACATATGGTTGCATGGAATAATTTCCTATTTCGTGTGTTATGCATTTTTAAGGCGGTTGGCCTCTATGACTGTTTATTTTTATGTTTTGTGTGGATTGATATGAATTAACAGTGGTTCTCAAATTATATTACTACAAGTGGCACTCACGAGTGGCTTGGCGAGTGAGTGAGCCTTTTTCACTTTCACGATTCGCTGCATGAGAGTTTGACAGTCGAGCAGTTGAACAAGAAAAATAATCCGCCACTTGTCCCAGAAGCTCACCCACAGGTAGCGCACTAGTGTAAAAGGGGTGAGCAAGCCTATTATGAGCCCAAATGTCAGGCTTCGGCATTTTATTATTTTTGTTCGGCTCAGTTAGGTGATTGATTTCAATATAAGCTCGGCAATTTAGTGAAATTAGACCTTTTTTACGTTGACTCTGGAACGGAGTAGAAGTGTTGGTAGAAGTGCGCGCGTGTGTAGAATTAATATTTCCGAGGTATAAAGTAAACCTCAGAGTGGTGTGGAATAGTTATAATTAATGTGTTGTTCTCTTTTAGTAGGTAGTCTAATCTAGTACGGACGTTTGTTAAAAAGTTAGTGTTGTTAAAATAGTACGGATCGTTAGGGTGAAAAGCTAGTACGGTTAGTGTTGTAGAAATGTTGTTATTGTTCTAAAGTCTAACGTGAATATTTTCTATAGCTACCAAAGAATAGACAGAAAACTATATACAAAGAAAATCCGACAAACAAACGAAAAACCAACAAGAAAAAGGTAAATGCTTTTGTCTCGATTAAAATTGTGGTGAAATTAGAAGTGACGTCACAGGGGACTAATCTGGTGGTTAGGTCCAGCGAGTGGGCCTTTTTCGGTGTTGTTGGTCTTTTCTACAGAATTACCACTAGTAAGGCGCGACTGGTGTACTCTGCGTGGCGGCCGGCCGGAAAAGCTTCGCCATTGTCCAGCGTACCGACGTGGCTGAACACACGGACAATATCGACACGCCATTTTGTCGCCATCTTTTGCCAGCATGAGACATCACGAATAGAGGCCGCGTGGTCTATTACCTGCCATTGTGTTGTCATCTGGGGAGCGTCATCCTTCAGCCGCCTTAGTGAACTGTCCGGCGAACACATCATCATCCTCGGCATTGCGGACTGTTGGGTGAGCGTAGCGTAGAGAATTTCCGACGATAGTAAGCAGGATCCAAGATCCAGCGTACTGGGGGGAATGTTACGCCCTTTGGCGATAATGCTCCGCCAATGCGAACGTCAGCCACACCCTTGGCCATCGGAGGGATTGAATCTGATTGACATTCAGCAGGCAACCTACATCGAGCAGCCCAAGAAAACAATGCAATGCAGGACATAAACATAAAACTATAGATGAAGTTAATAGATTATTATTTCTTATAGCATTGTTGCGTATTGAGCATTGAATTATAAACTAATTAAAACTACAGGTAAAAACATAGAAAGTATAATTACGATGCAATTCTAATAGGCATTTGAGTTCTAGCTGGACATTTTTTTATACGGACGAAATTTATATAATAATCTATAGCTAAACTTTGATTTCTATTAGGTAAAATACTTAACCTAAACATAAATATGCTAAACTTAGAAGAATGGTCCTATGATTAAATTAACTTTAAATACCTAAATTTCTAAAGGATACAGTTTTGCTGAAACGTTAATACGATAAATTAAAGCACTAAACGTAAGTGGAGTTGACTGTATAAGAATATTATTATAACTTAACCTAAAATTTATGAACAAACATTTACAGGAAAAATTTAACATCACCAATAAAAAGTTAAGTTTTCGGAAATTGTTTCGATTGATTCGTAACACGTAGATAACCAAAGCTGAATTGTACTCAGCAACTTGCAATTCCGGTAAAAGTTACGTGCAAAACCACCTATGTTTTCGATGTTTTCTGGTAAATTGAACGTGAAAAATTTTCAGAGTCAAACATTCATTTTCCCACGATTATGCCAAACGGGGTAGAGCCGATATAATAATTATCAACAAGAAAAACGTCATCAAGTTAGCCTTGTAACATGTTATTACTCTGTTTGCGAACATAGCATAAATTGTACTGTTGAATTTGCAAAAAAATACTGCATGGTATTTTTTTTTTGCTGCGCTTGTAGAAGTAAACCGCCATAATTCGCTAGTTGAAGTAGCGCCATCGTAGCCAAGAACGGCGACTAAGCTAACCCGTATGTTAACGTCTGTAAATAATACGTTTGAAACAGCTGGTTATTATCGCATCTGTTGACAAACCGAATTTTTTATGCAACATACAGTATCAAGTTGCAATTTTTCCGATATGCCGGACAGATATTAATGCTGCAGAGAATATCCTCTTATATCCGAGTCTTTTACCGGCCGATCTTTTGCACATGCGCCGTTGAACATTGACATTTAAAATTTCATTAAAATTTCCAATTGTAGCTCCATTCAATTCAACTTCAAAGCATAATCCAATTTTTCTTACGAATGCACAGAAAATTTAAATGGTTACTGTTTTGTAATCGAGGTATCAACCATGTGTTGTGATGCAACAATGAAGGAAATGGAATCAATTAGCTTCGATTACCTCATTGCCTATTTCAATCAAGTTTTAGATCATGCCTAAATCGTAAGGGAAAAAAAAAACATTCCGTTTCTGAAATAACTAATACTATGATAAATTAGTTGTTACAATTTTAAATATATGCAAATAAATTAATTTTTGAAACGACTATTTTTTTTATATTTCAGAAAAAAAGTTATTCGAAGACAGCACACCAATGGAACATCAAACAGCTACAATAATCGCAATGATACGAAATCCGAACAGTCACAAGTTAAAAAAAATGGGAATAAACTATATCAGTAAGTAAAATATAAGTTGTAAATTTAATAATGTGCATAAATCTGTACGAAAAACTTATGGTTTTAAAAATTTCATCAGTTTTTAGAGTCCTTTTGATATTGTCATTCCTGAATGATTCTTCATCTTGGTGCTATTAAGTTCCTACACACTGCAGCTTGTTTTACCTTCTATGATATTTTGAGCACTTCAATTTTACTAGCACACTTTCTTTTAATAGATTACCGAATGCTGTCAGTTTGATATAACAATTGACAACTTTGTGCCGCTTTCCATGTAGGGTGGGTGAGCCAGTAGTGGAGGAACTAAGGCAACAGCTATTTTGCTAGAAAAATATTGCATTGTAATAAAATTGCATTCATTAATAGGAACACTGTTCCAGTAGTTGTGGTAGTTGCTAACTTTAGTTCCTATAATAGTGGATGCATTGGTTTCTCATGGATTCCACTATTATAGGAACATTACCGCAACTATAGGTGCCAAGAAGCCAAAATCTTGATGAAAATTTATGATTTTTCGTTTTTTGGGCTAATTTTAAGTTTGAAATATGCAACTTTGTTTTGTTTTAGGAGATACCGAAGAAAAATAATCTTATCGGTGTTTTCCTTACAATTTCGGCCCAACCCCCATACCGCACCTATAGGTATACCAACCCTACATAGAAGTTAGGAGGAATCGATTGAAATAAAACATTTCGTTCACGTGACTAATCACATAAATTCCTTGTAAAAACTAAATTAAAATAGAGGAAGGCTAAATTATAATGGCCTTAACAAAAAAAATACATATTGTTTAAATATTGTTTAAAATATGTAGGTAACATCATGTTTTAAATTTTCATCAAATTACAGGTTTATTCCCAAGTGGCTCTATGTGGTCTGCGTGAGCTCACTGTTTGCTTTTGCGATAATGTATTCTAAAAAAACACAGCAAATAGTCAAGCATCCAGAATCACCATCTCGGCTTATACCACCAAACCCACAACGAACGGACACTAAAGTAATCCCATCATATACAGCATTGCACATTTTTAAAAGTGCTGCAGTATGCTCTGATTCGGAAGTCTGTAGCCGTGTAGGCAGGTAAGTACATATAGTAAAATATTATGCAAATCATAAACAAACATACGTTTGATATCATTTTGTAAAACATGTACACTCAACTCTATTTTTACGCGATTTTTTTTCGCCTCTCGTTTTGATCATGTAATTCCAAATTGAGACAAAATGCATACAACTTGTTCCAAAAAATCACAACTAAAAGTAAGTGGTTGTATCCAAGACACGACCTTAGATTTGACGTAGGATTACGCCCAACTAACATTTTCAGCTTTATAAGCCATCTTTTCCAGCAATGTGCTGCAAAGTAGCTGATCATAGATATAATACTAGAAACGCGGTTGAAATAAGAACACCACATTTCTTGACTTGTGCTTCACAAAATTCATTATATTATAAAGGAATAAATGTATTCAATTCGATGCCTAGACATATCAAACATTTAGCAACACTTACAGAATTTAAGAGACACTGCATTTCACACGTTAAAATCGATTTTTTTTTTTATGAATTGACAAATTATGTATCTTGACGAAGTTATCTCTAACGGATTATTTTATATGGATAGCTGTCATAACGACTTTTTAATAATTATTGTAGCACTGCAAAAACTATTTCTGTTCGCCACGAGGGTGATGATGGATTTTTGATATTTGATTTAATAGTAGATTAATTAAAAAAAAAAATAGGCTACAAAGGTTTGAGCCTCGCGCGCGTATCACGGATATAGAGGACTGAATTTAACATTTGATAAAAAAAATGCAATTTTAAAGCTTATTTGAAAGATACCTAGGTGGACAAAAAGGCGAACTAAGAGGTGGACCCCTGAGATTTTCCACATTTATATCACTGTGAAGCAACTGTAAACTCTAGAGGGAATTTATATCTGTAACTGAAACCAGTTCGATTTTGTTTGCCAACCTGGTTAAAATGTCATATTCAATTATCTTAAAGATAAATCGTCCAGCTCAAACCTTTGTAGGGGTAAGAGACGGGACCATCATCATCATCAAAAAGCTGCAGATACAGCTACAAGCAGAAGCTGGCAAAATAGTTTTGGAGAGCGTTTACTCAAGTTTTTCATAACCATTATTCAATTTGTCAGTCACACGGAATAACAGCAAAAGTGATTTTTCAACAACTAAACATCCTGTACTCAGCTAATATACTTCGTTAGCGCTACTTTGGCAGTATTGAAGTCATCTAGGTTTATTCTTAGACTTGTGCAGTTTTACAGCTTTTACTCAACTCCTTCACAACTTCTTCTTCTTATTCGCATTTTTAAGCTTATTAATTAGCGCATATTAGCTTATTGCGTGCTCTCAACTTGGTGTTCTAAATGCACTTCCACAGTTATTAATTGAGAGCTTTCGATGCCAATACCAATGCATGAATTTGTATATTGTGTGGCAAGCACATTGATACTCTATGCCCAGGGAAGTCGAGAAAATTTTCAGCCCGAAAGATTCTCTCGACCGGCCTGGGAATCGAACCCGCCGCCTCCGGCTTGGTAATACCGTGCCTTTACTGACTAGCCTATTATTATTTATTATTTATTATTATTTATTTGTCGTCAATCAGTGTAGACCGTTTTACAATTGTTGTCTTAAGTGCTATTTTTACAATTTTGTCTTTTTTTTTTATAATATGTCTTAAGAACAAGTTAAAACATTACTTCTAGTTGACGTTATGCGACGAATTAAAATATTGCTTTAATTTGGTTTTTGTCATTGTAAAGTCAATGTTATCGCAGTGCTTATTATATGTATCCATCATTTGGTTCAAGGGTCCAAATTTGGCATAATTCGTACGATGACGATTTGTAGCAAATATATTTCTATTTCGTAAATGCCTAGATGGTGTATATAAATTTAAGGATGACAATAGTTCTATTGAATCAATTCGATGTGATACGATATCGTTTACGAAAGAAATCATAGCAAATTCACGACGCTTTTTTAATGTTTGGATATTTATGAGCATACACCGAGCTGTGTACGATGGCAGAGGAAATACAGTCCAACCTAACTTGCGGAGTGCATACAATAGAAACTGCTTTTGAACGGACTCTATTCTTTCTTCTTGTGTGATTGAAAAAGGTGACCAAACTATGCTGCAATATTCTAATATCGATCTTACATAAGCAATGTACAATGTTTTTATCGTATACGGATCGTGAAAGTTATAGCAGAAACGTTTTATGAAACCAAGCATGTTGTTAGCTCTGTTAATAATTGTGTTATAATGATCGGTGAAAGTAAGTTTTGAGTCCAATATAACACCTAGGTCCCTGACTCTATCACACTTTTCTACGATCTGGTTTCCCAAAGTGACTGTTATATCGGGTAGCTTTTGTTTTCTACTAATGGTAATGGAGTTACATTTTTTTATATTTAATTGTAGCAGGCTTTTTTGACACCAAGTATGGAATATTTGAATTTCTTCTTTGAATGTGATGATGTCTTTGGCATCTTTTATTTCTAAAAAAAGTTTAATGTCGTCAGCATATATTAAAACTTTCAATTTCTTAATAATGAAAGATATGTCATTGACGAAGAGAATAAATAAAAGCGGTCCTAAATGGGAGCCTTGAGGAACTCCTGAAATGACATCAACGGGATTTGATATCTTTCCTTTGTATTTTACTATTTGATGACGTTCAGTTAAATATGATTCAAGCCACTTGAGGAGTGCGTAATGAATTCCCATTTTTTGAAGTTTAAAAAGAAGCATGGGTATGTCAATTCGATCAAACGCTTTGCTGAAATCTGTATACAACACTTCTACATGGTTTACGTTATCCATTGCATTCAAGGAATAATTAATTAATTCGAGCAAATTCGTAGTTGTTGAACGGCCTTTAAAGAAGCCATGTTGCATAGTAGTTATTATGTTTTTAATTTGAAGAAAGAGTTTTTCATTTACAATCGCCTCGAAAAGTTTCGGAATGCAAGAGATAATAGCTATACCACGATAATTACGTATGTCGGATTTTTTACCCGATTTAAAGATAGGCACTAAAAACGAGTTTTTCCATATTTTAGGGAAGTTTCCGGATTCCAGTGACATATTGAAAATCCAAAATAATGGAGCAGTAAGTTCAATTGCTAAAGTTTTCATAAAAACTGGCGGAACACCGTCAGGGCCAGGACCTTTAGATGCATCCAAATTGTTTAAACCCTTTAAGATATCATGAACCTTGATTTGACTTACGCTGATGTCACTTGAAAATTCTGGATATGATTCAAAATATTCACGATCACAGTCCTCTTCTGAAAACGTAGTATATATTTCTTGGAAGAAATTTGCAAACAAATTGCATATATCATCCGAGTTCTCACCTATCTTTTCGTCCAAACGCATCTTTGAGGGAAAATTATCAGATTTAAATTTGGTTTTCACATAATTGAAGAAGTTTCTAGGACAAGATTTTATTTCAAGTTCAGTTTTTAAATTATACTCCTCAAATGCCATATTCACGGCCAAATTTAACTGATCGCAAATGTCTAAATAGTATGCCAAAGTTTCTTCACTATTATATTTTTTATAAAATTTGTGCGCTTTTTGCTTTCGATTTTTTTAAATTTTTCAGTTCCCTGTTGTACCAAACTGGATGTTTTGCATGACTCTGAAGTCTTCTTCTTTTAGTTGGCACTTCTTCAAGTATTATTTCAAGCAACACATTGTAGAATACCTCAACTGCACATTCAACATTTCCTGCAGTTCTTAATATTGCTTGCCAATCGACAATGTTCAATCTATTTCTAATGTTATCATAATTTGCTGAATTGTAATCAAAGATTTCATCAAATTCGCAGTCGTTGGTTCTTTCATTTATATGAACGAATAGAGAATATTATATTGCTGTGTGAAACATTTCATTTCTCCATATGGGACTTAACAATTCAGTCACACAGAAATCTTCATAAGTATTTGTTAATAAAAGGTCTAAATAACAATTTTGTTGATTTTTCACATGGTTAATTTGATTGAGTCCTAAATTTGCAATTTTGTCAAAAATGAAATGGAGTGTTTCATTTTCCCCAACGACTGGAAGTAAGATGCTTTCATTGTCCATATCAGAAATAAAGTCAACATTGCGTTGGTTAAAGTCCCCATATATATGAACTTTTACTTCAGGGGGTAAACTAGACAAAATTTCTTCCGCTTTTCCAAAAAACTTATCATACGTGTCCTTATGAGCATTGTTTGGAGGAAAGTATACCGAAGCAAAGACATGTGTTTCGTCTGCTACTTGCGCTTTTACCCATACATGTTCTAATTCTTTAAATTTAGTAGCCATAATAATTTCTGAATTCAATTGGGTCGAAATCGCTATTAATACTCCACCTCCCGATTTTTTTCCAGACCATTGAAAATTGCGGTCGTCTCTATAAACGTTATAATTGTTACCAAAAAATTCTTCACTTCTCACACTATCATCCCAACTTGTTTCATTAGCCATTATGACAGAGTAAGAAGAACTTAATATATTTTTGTTAATTTCATTCATTTTACCGGCGCTTCTCATGCGGTTAACATTTTGGCAATATACCAAAATTTCTGTACTGGTCTGAAGATTAGGTGAAGAAGTTGATGGTAACCTGTCATTCATAAAACTATTATCAAAATTATTTACCCCTGGTCCATGTTCCGAATTTGTTTCGTTCTGCAAAGTGTCGTGATCTTCGTTATTTTCTTCCTCTATGGAGTGTGTCAGTTTTGTAGAAAAAACGAGTGCCTCTCCTTGATGTAGAGAAGTCGTCAAGTCCTGGATAATGTTGGGGTCTGCCGGATCATTGTCTTCCTCCAAGGGGTGCGTCAATTTCGTACAAAACACGAATTCCTGCATACACACGCCTCGCATGATGAAGTTGCAGCCATCCCGTTATGCAAGTGCGCTGGAACGGTACGTGTTTATACATCGCACGCCGGGTAGGGGTTTAAGATTTCCCCTCATTGGAATTGCATCGTGGGTCGATAGTTAGCCTGCGGCGGTCTGGAAAACCGATATTTCGCTGCCACAAGAAGCTCTCGATCAGGTGGCAGTAGGTTGTTTCTATTCTGACTAACACTGCTGCGGAAACTGTTACGGTTAGTGTTGTTGTTTCGATGATTGTTAGATATGTTATTGTTGTTGTTGTTGCCAAAATTGTTGTTGTTGTTGTTGTGGTTGTTGTTATTTTTGCTGTTGTTGTTGTTGTTGTGGTTGTTTTTGTTGTTGTTGTTGTGGTTGTTGTTGTTGTTGTTGTTGTTATTGTTGTTGTTGTTTTTGTTGTTGTTGTTGTTGTTGTTGTTGTTGTTGTGGTTGTTGTTGTTGTTGTTGTTGTTGTTGTTGTTGTTGTTGTTGTTGTTGTTGTTGTTGTTGTTGTTGTTGTTGTTGTTGTTGTTGAGTAAGTTTTGTTTCCTTCGCCTTCTAGCCTTTCCAGCTATTTTTTGCTGTATCAAACGGCGTGATTTTCGGTCATCGTACTCGGTCCAGCCTGCCTTCCATACCTTCCTGGTACCAAGTAGACGCCACCCTGAGTCATCGTTGTTGTTATTTAATTCCACCTCCAAGCTGGGGCACGAGTCAGATGGCGATTGCAAAGGTGCAGCGCTCCGTGTTGAGGCTATAT